TTTTAAAGGCTTTTCTAGCTCAGCATATGTGATAGAAAGCGGTTGAACATTTAGGTTAGGGGCTGCCAATTCTCTTAAAGTTGTCATATTTGGTTCAGAATTTATTTCAAAAAGATTATCAAAGATGCTATCAGAACAAGAATCAAACAAATCAACAGCAAGCAAATTGGCAGGTCTATCCTCAGATTCAGCAACAAACTCGCTATTAAAAGAATTGGGTTCAGACACACTTACCTCAGAGTTGCTACCGTTTACCTCTATATCACCAATTACTCTTCCACTCCTCAAGCGCATGCAAATATCAGATAGCTGCAACTCAAAGAGAATACACAAGTATTAGAATTCTTATACTTGATTCAACTGTCAATAATTACTGAACAAATAACAAACAAGCAAGCAATATTGTCTCTTTTTTTAAAAAAAATCAGCACCTTAAGTAATAGGTGAATTCAAATTTCTGCTCTCTTGTTTTTTTTAAAGATAACAAAGTGCATTAGTTGCTCAACGTACTTTACTTTTAAAAAATCAATTTAATGAGACTCCCTAGTCTGAATAAAAATCTGCAGTAATGCATCTTTGAAAACAGTCTTTTTAAAGTGCTTTTGGGCAAGTTCTCGTTAAAATAATTGCATGTTTCAAGGAAAAGAAGTCAGTACAGTTAGTTCCTACTTCTCTAATTGTTACTAGTTAGCAATATAAAAATATTTTGATCAAACTTGGACTAGAAACTCCTTTTAACACCATTTTCCTAAAAAATTTTAAGCTCCCAGAACCTTATTTGTTCAAAATCTGCATTTAGTGGAGAAAAAGGTTGATTTTAAAAACTGTCAGTAAATCTATTTATATATTTTTTTTAGTAAAAGGTTGGCCAAAGGAAAAAAAACATAGGGACTCATAACAAACTGATTTCAAACAAGACACAAATGCACCTAGGGACTGACTTAGACTTTTTTTTAAAAAAATTGACTTATTAAGCTATAATAACCAACGTAATAAAAAAGACTTTTTTTAAGTGTTTTTTTTAAACAATAAGCAAACCAATTCTCATTTAAAAAATAATCTTTCCCCGGAAACGGCGCCAAAATTTGTTAGGCGTGTCGTAGCACCTACAAATTAATTTATTCTTTTCCTTTACTTAGTTCCTTCTTGTAAAAAATAGTATTTATTAAATCTATAGATAGGATAAGTAAGAGTCGATCTCACGAAGAAAGATATTTTTTAGGTTATGAAAATCGGTTTACTTTGTCACTTTTTATTGAGTGAAAACAACTATATGAAATCTATAAACTAAATTAAAAGATGGGGGGGTTTGAAAATTGTTTTCTAAATGAAGTAAAAAAGCTAACTAAAGTGACACACCACACCAAAACAAAACTCAAAACAAACCAAGGATAAAAACAGAACATAACTCCACCAAAAAGCCCAAACAAAGAAGACAAGCACACATAACACAATAGTTTAGAGACTTAAACAATTTTAGAAAACCAACAAAATGTTTTATAATATAGAAAATAAATATCCAGGATCAAAACTTTGTTAAAAACTAGCATAATCATCAACCAACTATAAATTAAAACAAGGGTCCGGCTGAAAAAGAGATTCTTTCCTATTTTCCCATTCATAAAAGTTCATATTAGGACCAACCCTAACTCTAAACCCTACTACCCTTAGCAACCCAAAGACCAACCCTTAGATTACTACTAAGAATAGTGCATTAAGATTTGTGGAAAACATCACCGTAACAATTTTGCAGTAACACGAAGGTTATTTAACAAAATCAGTTTGAGAACCTTGATTAGCAAAAACCACTTAACGAGGCAACCTTGTTTGGCTATTTAAAGCACTTTGGACTTTAAAAGAATATCATTTTAAATTGGATTAGGTCGCGATCCTAATTTGACCCAACTTAAGTAAAATCAATTGAAAATAGTTCTCAAACACCTTTGAATTAATTTAAGAGTAGCAAAAGCTTGAATTATTTTCAGATTATAAAAATTGTTGTAAAAGTTTAAACCCATAGACAGATTCAATTTTAAGCAACAAGATTTAATACTTCTTCCAAAAATTCTGGTTTCATATGTTATTTTTTTGACAAAATCAGATTCCAAGTAGAAAACAGACATAAAAAAAACTGTGAAAGTATACCTAATAAGATACGAGTATATATTACCCACTTGTACCCACTTGTTTCTTTACTGCAACAAACATATAATTCAGAGGAATTCCTCAAAAAGAGACATTTTCCTTGTCTACTTCATCATATGGCAGTAAAGACACAAGCTAGAGGTCTAAAACAAATTCAGCACATAAATCATTTGAAACAAAGATTTCTTTAAGGAAAAGTTCAAAAAGTGCTTCAGTATTGTATGATTCCACTTCCAATTAATCCCTACATACTGTAAAGCCAAGAAAATATCTTCCAAGAGCTAATAGACCCTTACTGGTATAAAACCCAGTTTAGGATGGTGCACGGCACTTCCTAAAAACATTCCAGTAGATTGCTTTGAAACCAAATTAAACAGAAGACATAACATTCAAAGGGCTAAGAGCTCTGGTTCACATCTCTACCTCTAAAAAATCTTGAAAATATCTAAGAAGAATTCTTTCAAAGTGTTCATAACAACACTAAAATTTTAAGAGTAAAACAGAAATAAAAACACACGAATTGCAAGAAAAAAAACAAATCAATTGAAAACTAAAAAAAACAGAACAAAAGATGGTAGAGGGGGTTTCGGATGCAAGATCTGAACCCCAAGGGCGTTTACCCTTTGATCGTAGCTTTGATTTTTGTTCTTGAAGGTGGTGGTGGTGTTCTTCGCAGCGCCTCCCTCGATTTATAGGTGCGAGAATTGCTTCTTCCGTCTAGGGTTAGGACTTCCGCTGCAATTCTTGCTGCGGATTCTCCGGCTCCAGCTATGCTTGAAGAGGCCGACCCAATGTAGGAGAGGGAGTCTTCGGCTCTTCTATCTCACACGTCTCTCTCTCTTTTTCTCCTTTTTTACGCAGCTTCTCTCAAACTTCTTGTGTGTATTGGAGGTGGACCTTTGGGCTTTGTCATATTGGGCCCGGATTGCTTTCACATTTTCAGCCCGCACTTCATGCTCCAAAAATATATCTAATAATAACCTTTGTCAAGGAGAATTTGGATCCACAACAATGATATTCAAAAATAAACTGAAAAGTGTGCATTATGAACATATTTTAAAAACTATGCCTAGAATGCAAAAATGATCATTTAAGTGTAAAAATGCACTTTTTAATGCCCAAAAATACTGATTTGATAGAGAATAATGAGTGAATATTTTGGACTCAACACCGAGCCCAACACTCCACGGCCCAATAATTGCCCAAAAAAATACGGAGTACTCATTGCCTCAGGTACCCGAATTCCACTGCTGCGCTGCAGAAGAAAGGACGAAAGGGAAAGGCAAAAAGCATATTAGCAGAAGAAATCCAAACCACAAACCAAAAGGCAATAGGCAAGTCGCTCGAAGGATTCTTCCAATTTTGAGTTCTTCTCTTGTTCTTCTTCACCTAATTTTCGGTCTTTTCTCATTGTCTGCGTATATGTAAATTTTAATTATCTAATTTTAAGATTTGTTTCTTAATATTTGAAATTTTTGAATATTACTAAATTATATTTTGAATTTTGAATATTTTTTGTTTCGTGGTTTCAATGTGTGTTGATATTTAAATATTTTATAAATTTTAATGTAATTTCAAGTTCTAGTGATTAAGATATATGAAATTATTATTTTGAGGTTATTGCTATTTTATTTTGTTACTTTATTATAAAGTTATTATGCAACGCTTTCAAAAGTTGGCATCTCAAAAAAAATTTCTACGGCTTCAAACAACTCTTACTCTTTTGCACAAATAAAAAGTATGTTTAGTTGCACTTTGCCAATTAAGATAGTTACTATTATAAATTTTGTTTATTTATTAAATACAATTTTACCCCCCATGAAGTCTTCCCTAGCTCCANCCCCCCCCCCCCCCCTCGTAGTCATTATATTGTGAAGAAAACACTAAGATATGAAAAAACATCAAAAGAAAAAAGACTTTGGAAATTTAAACAACCTCAAAATGATACTTTGCAATAAACTTCTTTACACCTTAAGCGAAATATGAAGAAAAAAGATGTTGAGAATTTGATAGTTAATTGTGGTGCTAATGTTAACGTGGAAGATGAAGAACAGTTTCATTATGGAGAGTATAGTATCCATTTTGTCCCCCATAAAGCTTCTCATTATGTGTTACGAGGTTTAACAAACTTTATTTTCAATTCAATTAATTTCATTCTAGGTGTAAAATTTATAAAATGTATAGTAAAACCTGTGAATGGGATGATTTATGGGGACGGAGGGAGCATATAAAAAGCATACTAAAAGCTTCACCACTTATTAGTAAGAGAAAAGACGAAGTTGGTATATGGTACATCCAGATTTACCTAGAAATAGGTACATTCCGGTAATACTAATTCTGAAATAAAGTAGTACTCATTCTCATACAAATATAAACATTCATTTCGAAATACGTAGTACTCATTCTGGAAAAGGTAGTACTCATTTTAAAATAAAGTACTCATTTTTACACATTTGTCTAATATAATTATAATAAATAGCGTAGTGTTCATCCTAAAAAAACAATACTCATTCTCAAATAAGGAAATGTTCATTCTAAAATAAAGTATTGTTCAATTTTTTCACAATTAAAAAGTTCAGTACCATCATCAACTTCTTCCTCTATTCGATTCGTTCCTACTCATTTATACTCTCTGAGCAAGGAGAATTTAAAACTCAAGTTTATTCATGTTTGTATTGAATAAAAATATGATAATTCTCATAAGTGCTGGTACTCCTCAAACCTGCTGGTACTCATTGTCATATATAATAGTTCTCATATATGTTCTGGGCATTGGATAAAAAGTTTGCAAAATTTACAAAAATACCAGGCTGTAGGGTACAGCTGGATGTACCATATATTTTGCCGAAAAGACGTGAAAAATTATGTAAAACAACAGAGCAGGGTACCTTAACGCCTGTGTTTTTCCAATAGAACGCTTTCCAGATAACAAGTGCTTTGGTCTCAGATTAGGAATGGTCTGATCAGCTTCTCCACGGCAAGCATCCTTGTTCCTCTTCTTCGAATATTTCTTAGCCAAAATAATAGCCTTACTCTTTTGTGCAGAGTCTTTGAAGCCCTCCCCAAGAACCACTTCACTTGGAGGCCTGGACTTTGACCTTGACCTGGATCTAGATGAAATCACCCTCAGCTTCTTCTTTGGAGTCTCCTCATCACCATCCACATCCATCGAGTTATCCATCCCAACAACTGATTGTTCCCTCTTTCGGCACCTTGATTTACTACGAGCCCTGTTGATTGCAAAGGTAGGATCAAGTCCCAGGTTAGACAACTGCCTTCCCATTCTCTCTGATGTGAACTTTTTGTCCTTGTCAAATTTCCTTGGTACTATTGGTCGACTCTCTGCCGTACTCTTCTTAATCCGGTGCTGTTGGATCAGCAAGCTCTTCTTCTTCCTGATCTCAGCCAGTGCAGTTTTTTCATCAGGTGTCAGCTCGGGCCCACCATCCATCTCAAACTCATCATCACCTCCTTGCTCCTGCAGAAGCCCTTCTTCTTTTTCCAATTCCTCGAGCCTTAGCACAAGATCGGGATCGATGAAGTCATACACATTGTGACCATCAAGAATCTCCGGCATTATATCATCTTACCAGGACTCATCAGCCAAAATGTAGTGCTTACTCAATTTGGCCGAGTACACACCCGCACCTCCATTCTCAGCCTCATGATCTCTTTCAAGTTTCCTCTTCTCTGTCTCTGCAACTTCCTCTGCTTCCTTAGCTCTGGCTTCCAGCACTGACTTAGGTATACATGAAGGCCTTTCTTTTTGGTCACGAGGTTTCAGCATCACAACATGAAAACGGTTTAAGCAGTCGTTTAACTTCTTTGATTTCATCTTGACTCCAACCCTTTGGTTCAACAGCCTCTCACAAGCAGCGTTCTTCACCGAAATCACGCCTTCTTCCGTCAAAGCGCTCATGGTCAAAAGCACTCCTTGATCATCTGTGGGCTCCCCACCTTGTCCGATCACAGTCTTCATAGCTTCTTCTTTCATCTGCATGACCAACCTCTTGTCTTCCTCGGATATCCCTTCTAAAGGCTGCAAATCAGTTTTGTTGCAAACTATGACCAATGGTTTGTTCAAAAAGAGGGACTTTATGCTGTGGAACAAAGCAGCTTGCTGTTCAATAGTGTAACCACATGATCCAGAAATGTCAATGAAAAACAAGATGGCAGCTCTAAGATGAGCCAGTGCTGTAATACTGCACATTTCAATAATATTACGATCTTCAAACGGCCTGTCCAATATTCCTGGAGTGTCAATGACTTGATACCTCAAGTATTTGTAGTCAGTGTGACCGACAAACAAGGACTTTGTGGTGAATGCATAGGGCTGAACATCCACATCTGCTCTTGTGATTTTGTTAATGAAAGAGCTCTTACCAACATTTGGGTACCCACAAATCAAGTGTCCTTGTGTTTGGATCAATCGAAGGCAATCTTGACATGTGCTGCCTGATCTGCTCAAGATAAGCTAAACTGGGCGTGATTCGCTTTATCACAGTACACATGCGTCCCAGAGCAGCAATCTTCAAAGACTTGCAACGGTACAGCGAATCACCATACTTCAACATTTTCAAGTAATCCTTAGCAATTTTAGAAATCAAATTCCTTGCAGTGTTTATTTGCCCAAGGGCAAGCTTGTAATGGTCTTTGTTATAGAGGACATGAAGCAGATCCCCATAAAAAGGGTGGATATCATCAAGCCTTGGGAACTCATTGATAATGATAGAAAGCTTTTCGTGGAAATTTGTTTGAGTATATTTCACTTTGCGCATATAAAACTGACGGATATGGGATATTGCATAACCCTTGTGAACAACAGTGGGTGTCTGCCTTTGTGTGCGTGAGAGAATGATATCCACAAAGTCTTTCCCGTTGGGCACAATGGTGATCTTTTTAAAATTGTACTGCACCATATCTTAGGGTCTGATCTAGTCCTTCCCTGCGTGAATGGAAACAGCACAAAAATTAGACAGTGAGGAACATCTACAAATCTATCTATAAAAAAACAAATTAAATAGAAAGGTGGTTACTTGTTTTATAAGAGATACAAATAACAATGGTAAAACAATAAAACTAGTTAAATACCATTGTATTTGTTTTTTCTTTATTATTTCATTGTATTTATCTCAATTTAAATAAAAACAAATAAATTCCGTCGAATCAAAATTTAACAAAATTCACTTTAATAAACAATACGGAGTAAAAAATAGCATATTTCAATAAATAGCAAAAAAACAAAACCAAAAAAACGTAAAAAAGAACATAAAAATATGATATTTCAAAAAAAAAAGAAAAACAGAAAATGAAACTCCAAAAAACAGAAAAAAAAAAAGAAAAGGAAAACATAAAAAACATAAAAGAAACAAAAACAGACAACAAAAATAAATCACAAAAAAGGGAAAAAAAACAGAAAACAAACACAGTAAAATAATTGCAAAAAAAGGGGGGAAAACGCTGAACAAATCTGGAGATTCGAAGAAATAACCGAAAAAAGAAGAAGAAGAAGAAGAAGAAGAAGGGCAGAGCGGAACTTACCTCCAAGATCTGCCATGGGAGAGGAAGAAAGGAGAGAATAGAAAAAACAGAGAAGAAAGAAGAATCAGAAGAAAGGTGAGAAAGGAGAATTGAAGAAAGGAGAGAAGGACAGAAGCGGAACAAATAAAAGTTAACTAGCTTGATCGCGTTTGAGGCGGTAGCCATTTTTACACTGTTGGGCGGTAACCTTACCTCTCTTCACCTCCCCCTACCTATCACCATTTTCTCTCCCAAACAAGGTAAGGTTTAAATTTAACCTTACCTTACCTCCACCTACCTCAATCCAAACACACCGTTATACACCCTCTGTTAGTAAATCCCAACCTATCCTCCTCGGTGACTCAAACTCAAAACCTCCCAGCTCCCACAAGAGGAGAGACTTAAGTGTGGAGTGTTAGCCAACTTGGCGACTCCAACTTGTTAAGAATCATTAGATAAGTAAAAAAGCAGTAAAACTATGGTTTAAGATTTATTAGACTAAGTGCTTGTGTTAGTCAAAATCATCTTATAGACTTATACCAATTTAAATATTAAATCCTAACATTGTCAAATTCAGATCTGATTTAAACACTGTTCAGCCAAAAAATCCAGTTTCACAAGCCTAATAATAATCCATTCACAATATCACAATAGACCAAACCACATACGAAATTAGTCGCTCATGCTGAATTTAGACATAAAATAAAAAAAAACAACATCAACATGAACATCAAAAACTTAAACTGAAATGATTTACACCCTGTTCAGCCAAAAAATCAAGTTTTACTAGCCTAATCCATTCACAATAGACCAAACCACATATGAAATTACTCGCTCATGCGGAACTTAAACACAAGATTAAAATCATTCAACAACAACAACATTATAAACTGAAAAGCTTTACAAACCAGATTCAGATTCTCAGTAGTCAGAAAACAATGCCGCAGCAACAATCACTTTGAATTTGAGAAAATACGTAAATGCAACTCACATTTGAAACAACATACAACTAGAAAACCATATATTCTTGCAGAAAAGCGAACTAATCTAGAGGGACTAAGCAATGTACCCTGTTTACCGCGGTTTTTTCGTTCAAATCTGATTTTCTTCGCTGATTCTGCTTATTTCGTTTCTAAGATGCGCCTGCTGCTGGTGAGAATCTCTGTGCTGGAGACGGAGCTGCAATGGTGGTTCTGGTTGCGTCTGCTTCGCTGGAATCTGGAGTTGCTGCGCTGCTTGATTGTATGCTGCTACGGATGGAGATTGGAAAAGGCCCAATAGACAACAGTTTCCGTTCTCTTATGGCCTATTCGCTCGTTTGTCTGCTAAAAAGATGAAGGGACTGCGATCTCTCAATGATCACGACGACCAGGAGGCCATGTTGAAACAAGATGAGGCCTGCTTGGTACCTAGGGTTTCAATTACTTACGCCCTATATTTATTTTGGCAAAGAGCAATGCTTGGGTACAAGTTGTACTCCAAATGTACATCACCCCTTTCTTTACCCCACATTTTTGGATAAAGTTACTTGTACCCCATGTTTTTGTATCCCATTTTGTACCCCGCAGGTTTGCACCAACACTTTGTGTTGGTGTAAAACTAATTTTTGTTAATGCACAAACACTTTGTATCCGTGTAAATTTTTGTTAACACACCAACACTTGTGTTGGTGCAAACCATCAAAATGTTTTTGTATGCCTGCGCTGTATAAATGGGGTACAATATGTGGTGTAAGTGTAGCATGACCCCACATTTTTATTTGATTTTTATTTACTTATTTTTTTAAAATCTTTTTGCCTTTTTTAGTAGACAAGAAGGGGGTGGGGGACATATACAAGCAAAAAAATTAAAGTAAACTCCATAAAAGGTTCTCAGTTATATGTCGTTTTACATATTTAGTCTCTACATATCAAATGTTACTAATTTAGTCCCAATTATTATATTCATTTCCACGAATAGTCCTTTGTTAACATTTTCGTTAAAAACGTGGATAAAATTGTAAATTCACACTCCTTTATCTCCTCAATTAAGCTTCCTCTTTCCCCTCGCACTCTCGTCTATAGTTCGTCGTTGAGTTTAAAGCTTTGAACCCCAAAACCGAAATCATCACTCTTCTTGTTACAGTTTAATTTTTGTAGTCAAATTATAGTATTCTTTCACCACAAATTATAAACAGAGTGCTTCAATGGTGCACCTTAGATGCATATCATTTTTATGCACCTTCTCAAAAAAATTATTTTTTATTTTTTTATTTTTTATTAAAATAAATACTCATGAGGATAATTAAGGATTGCTTTTTTTTCGTATATGAAGGTCCATGGTAGACCTTTTATCCACCATAGAATTTTTCTTCTATACAAAAGATATATTTAGTTGTAATGTAAATTAGTAAAATTAAATTTATTTTAAAATAAAGTTTTGAAATATCAACCATTGATACAGGTCGTGTAGATGAAGAACACGAGAGCCCAACGGATCATGAGCAGGGAAGCCCAACAAAAGACCCACCGGACTCATTGACGCCCAGTCGGCCGCGTAGGAATGCGAGGCGACCCCGACGCTATGATGATTACGTTTAATTTTATTTTATGCTCGGAGTAATTTTACTTTTCCTTATTTTAATTATTGTAATTTAGATTGTCTTAGGTGAGCAAATTATAAGCTCCTTCGAGGGTTTCTTTTCGGTTCTTTACCTCGATGCTTTTCTTGAACCGACATGATTAGGGTTAGGGTTTTCTCTTTTCTTATATATATTGGTGTACGCCACTTAAAAGATCATCAATACATCAATAATAGAGTAGTTTAGTAGTTTGTTCTCCCTCTTCGGCGAACGCCGCCCACCTCAAACCTGCGTTATTCACGTAGGGTTTTTGGCTTTTCTCCCTTAACCCTTATCATCTGCTGATCTCATTGCCGTCCTCATGACGTCGCCCCAGCCTGAGTCTTCCGCCAATTCTGCCATCACCATGGAAGATCTCATGCATGCTATTCATAATCTGAGCAACGAACTTCAGGCCACCAAGGCGCAGGTTGCTGCGTTATCTACGACCGACCCTCACACCGCCGCCGGATGGCGCCCACCGGCTCGAACGGCTGGTTCCGGGGCCGCTGAGCCACTGCCGCGCATGCGTGTGGAAGCGCCGCGCTTTAACGGTGAGGACCCCGGCGGTTGGGTTTTCCGAATTCAAGCTTATTTTGATTACTTTGCCACTCCGGTGCATGAACGGGTACATCTCGTGGCCATGTTAATTGATTCACCAGCCTCGGATTGGTTTCGTTATTATCAAAATAATAATTGTGGGGTGACGTGGGAGGCGTTCTTGGTCGCCGTCCGACAGCGTTTTGATCCTGCTTATTATGAAAATTACATTGGGTCATTGTCTAAGCTATGCCAAACAACCACGGTTTTGGAGTATCAATCTGCGTTCGAAGCATTGCTTAATAAAGTCACGGGGGTTCCCGAGCCTACTTTAACTGCCATGTACGTCGCCGGATTAGCCCAACCAGTCCAGGGCGAGGTAAACCTACGGCAACCACGCTCCCTCCAGGAGGCCTTTGCTTTGGCGCGTGAATTATCAGCCTGCCACCAGACTCCTCCGCCGAATGCACGTCGGACGTGGTCAGTTCGTCCAGCCGGTCCAGCCCCCACTGGGGCCACTTCAACTCCAGGGTCTGGTGCCACATCACAAGCCATTGGGGTCAAGCATTCGGACAACAAACCCTCGTCTCAATTACCCATCGTACGGCTCTCTTCGGCTCAAAAAATTGAGCGGAGCAAGAAGGGTTTATGTTGGTACTGCGACGAGAAATGGGTACCGGGGCATCATTGTAAGCACCGTTTTCTTGCGTTTATGGGTCCCGACGACGACGAAGAGTTTTCTTCAACTGACCTTGAGGATTCTACGCCGGACGATTCACTCATCTTTGGCGATGTCTCGAGCCTCCATTCCTTGGCAGGTAATCCGAACCCTCGGGCTCTGAAATTACCAGGCTCGGTGCGTGGTATCGTGGTTCAGGTACTTTTGGATGGGGGTAGCACCCATAATTTCATCCATCCCGCCGTGGCTGAACGTCTCTCATTGGAATTACAACTGATCCCTCCGTTTCGGGTCTATGTGGGAAACGGGGATTCGTTGCGTTGTTCGTACTCTTGCCCTCGGACACCTTTACGTTTGCAGGACACTGACTTCGAGGTGGATTTATATTTATTGGAGATTCATGGGCCGGACATTGTGCTCGGGGTCCAGTGGTTACAAACTTTGGGAAAAGTCGCGCATGATTATGCCGCCTTGACCATGGAGTTTAACTGGCACGGGCGCCCCATTACTCTCCGGGGCGATGTGTCCCCTCCCCGGCTTAGTTCTTATAGTCACCTTTGTTCGTTGGCGGTCCAGACGCAGGTCGAATTCTATGAGTTGCTGCCCACAGAACCGCCACCAGGCCCCCTGCCAACTCGGAGCTGCTGTTTCCAGGAGATCTGCCGGCCAATGTCCGTTCTCTTTTGGAGTCCCATTCGGCCATTTTTCAGCAGCCCACGTCCCTCCCTCCTGCTCGCACATGGGACCACCAGATTCACCTCGACAGCGGCGCCAAACCGGTCAATGTGCAACCCTACCGTTATCCATATTTTTAGAAAAATGAAATTGAGGGGCAAGTCCACGACATGCTACAACATGGGTTGATCCGTCCCAGCCAGAGCCCTTTCTCATCTCCGGTGTTGTTGGTCCGCAAGAAGGATGGCTCTTACCGCTCCTGTGTCGATTACCGAGCTTTAAATGTGGTCACTACTCCGGATCACTTTCCCATATATTCCAACCACGGACAAGTTATTCGACGAGTTGGGGCACGCCAGAGTATTCACGAAATTGGATTTACGTTCGGGGTACCACCAAATCCGGATGCACGAGGGGGATATCTTCAAAACGGCTTTTCGTACACATGAGGGTCATTACGAGTTCTTAGTCATGCCCTTCGGCCTAACTAATGCTCCCTCGACATTTCAAGCCGCCATGAATGACCTTTTTCGGGCCTATCTTCGTAAGTTCGTCATCGTCTTCTTCGACGACATACTAGTTTACAGTCCCACGGTCGAGACACATGTGGAACACCTCGGGTTGGTCTTTCACAGGCTCCAGGACAACTCCTTCTTCATTAAGCTCTCAAAGTGTTCTTTTTTTAAGGCTACAATAGAGTATCTGGGCCACTTTGTCACTGCCGGCGAACTCCTTCCCGACCCAGACAAAGTTTCGGCCATGGTTGAGTGGCCTCGTCCGTTGACGGTGAAACAGTTACGCGGCTTCTTGGGTCTCACAGGTTATTACCGACGCTTTGTTGCGGGCTACGCTATGATCGCTGCACCACTCACAGAATTACTCAAAAAAGATGGGTTCCGGTGGAATTCCGACGCCGACAGTAGCTTTGCACGACTCAAACAAGGCATGGTTACGGCTCCAGTTCTTCGACTTCCAGATTTTGCAGAGACTTTTTATTTAGAGACCGATGCCTCGGATGTTGGGATAGGCGCGGTACTCCTCCAACGAGGTCACCCCTTGGCCTTTTTCAGTAAAAAGTTGGGTCCCCGCCGTCGTTCAGCCTCCACATATCACAAGGAACTTTATGCCATAGTCGAATCGGTTCAAAAATGGCGTCAATATTTGTTGGGCCGTGAATTTGTCATCCGGAGTGACCAACGCAGTTTGAAGGATTTACTATTTCAGATTATACAAACGCCGGAGCAACAGTTCTATATTCGGAAACTCATGGGGTTTTGTTTCCGAATTGAATACAAAACCGGGGCCTCCAACAAAGTAGCTGACGCTTTGTCCAGACGTGGAGAGGACGGGGAGTATGCTGCAATGTTTACCTCCTACGCCCAACCACTGCCGCAGCTCCTCCAGGATATCAAGGCCGAAAATGAGTCTCTGCCCGATTGTAAAGCCCTGTGCGCCGCTGTTCTGGCCGGAACTGGACCTGCCCACATCTCCCTCCTCAACGGTCTCCTCTACTACAAACACCGGCTCCTGCTTAGCCCCAACTCCCCGCTCCGTGAGAAGCTTTTACATGAATTCCATAGTACGCCGATCGCCGGGCATCAAGGCGTGGAACGCACTTTCAAACGATTGGCCGCTGTATTTTATTGGCAGGGAATGCGCCGTGATGTCAAACGGTTTGTGGCGGCGTGTGTAGCCTGTCAAGCAACCAAGTATTCCACTCAAAAACCGGGCGGCCTCCTCCAACCATTGCCTATTCCAGAGCGCGTGTGGGACTCGGCCTCGATGGACTTTATTACCGGTTTGCCTCCCTCACGCGGGTTTACAGTAATTATGGTGGTCGTGGACCGCCTGTCTAAATATGCACATTTTGGCCTGTTACCTACAGGATTTGACGCCCCCCGAGTAGCCCAAGTCTTTCTGGAGGTGGTCGTTAAACATCATGGATTCCCCGGTGCCATTTTTTCGGATCGTGACTCCGTTTTTATGAGTCTCTTTTGGCGAGAGTTGATGAGGTTAAGTGGTACCTCGTTGAAATTTAGCACCGCGTACCACCCCCAAACCGATGGCCAGTCTGAGGTAATCAACCGCGGCCTCGAACAGTACCTCCATGCTTTTACTCACGAACGGCCTTCTCGGTGGGCAACCTTCATTCCGTGGGCAGAATTGGCTCTGAATTGCAGTCACCATGCGGGAATCAACATGTCCCCCTTCCAAGCTCTTTATGGCAGACCCCCCCCCCCGAGCCTATTTCCCACACTATCCCTTCGAGCTCGGGTACCTGCGGTCGAAGAGCTATTACAGGAACGTGCGGAGCTCTTAACAGATTTGAAACACCACCTTGAACGGATGCAGCAGCGTATGCGCACCAGCGCCAACCAACACCGCCGGGATGTTCAGTTCAACGTGGGTGATCTCGTGCTCTTGAAGCTCCAAGAATATAGACAGCACTCCGTAGCCAAGCCACGATCGGCCAAGTTAGCACGCCGATATTATGGGCCTTTCGAGGTATTGGAGCGCATTGGCCCTGTGGCATATCGTTTGCGCCTACCGGACGGATGCAAGATACACGACGTCTTTCACGTCTCTCTCTTACGGCCTTTCATCAAGGGGAGCGACAGTCCACCACCACCCACTTTGCCGTCGGATTTCTACAAAGGCAAGGCCGTGGTGATCCCCATTTCCGCAGGACCAAGCCGGACAGTATTGGTGGATGGCCAGCCGCGGGAGCAGTGGTTGATCCGTTGGTCTGAGCATGACGATGCTGACGTCACCTGGGAGGACGCTGAAGCCATGCAACGCCACTTCCCTACTCTCGGCCTTGAGGACAAGGCCGTTCCCGACCCCAGGAGAGTTGACACGGTTCGTGTAGAGGAAGAACACGAGAGCCCAACGGATCATGAGCAGGGAAGCCCAACAAAAGACCCACCGGACTCATTGACGCCCAGTCGGCCGCGTAGGAATGCGAGGCGACCCCGACGCTATGATGATTATGTTTAATTTTATTTTATGCTCGGAGTAATTTTACTTTTCTTTATTTTAATTATTGTAATTTAGATTTTCTTAGGTGAGCAAATTATAAGCTCCTTCGAGGGTTTCTTTTCGGTTCTTTACCTCGATGCTTTTCTTGAACCGACAGGATTAGGGTTAGGGTTTTCTCTTTTCTTATATATATTGGTGTACGCCACTTAAAAGATCATCAATACATCAATAATAGAGTAGTTTAGTAGTTTGTTCTCCCTCTTCGGCGAACGCCACCCACCTCAAACCTGCGTTATTCACGTAGGGTTTTTGGCTTTTCTCCCTTAACCCTTATCAACCATTTAGAGACGAAGAGAGGAGAATGTTTATTTTGAATATTTTTTAATATCCATAAAATATTCATTTTTGTAAAATACAATATTTATTTTCACAAAATATACATAATGTTCATTACAATTATATAAAACATATATTTACAAGTAAAATAATGTTCATTTGAAATACTTACGGTATCACCACCACCACCAAAATCATACTACCGCCTCCACCAATTCATCTTCATTGCATCCAGGATTCAAATTTTTTTAACGTTGTTGCAAAACTCAACATTAGTCGATTAGCCTCTCTCTCTCTCTCTCTCCCTCTCTCTTTGATCAACACTGGCGTATGTACAAAGTGTTTCGATCGGTTCCTCTTCCTTTATTATCGTCATTGTATTGGCTCCCCCCACGATCGATGTACCTAGGTTTCGATGTGCCCTCATTCGATCAATGCAACACTGCTCTGATTTGACACCGACTTATCAGAAAAATGGTACAACATTGTGTACCCTATAACTTGTGCTCGATGTAATATGGTTTTCCAATTTGATATTTTGTAAATAAACTAAATAAACTTTGATCACCAATGAAATAAATGCTCCATAGTATACTCTTTATGTCCCAATGTAATCATCGAATTTGACTTTTTATTGATAAGTTTTAATCATCTATACCTCTCTATTTATATTGCACATTAATATGAGCTCATATCCTAGTTGAGTACCACGAAAGTAGGGTCTAAGGACGGTGCATATGTCTACGCAAACCATATCCTTACTCAAAAGTAAAGAGGTTTTTCCAAAGAGAATCCCTGCTTAAGTTGCACGAGTAAAAAGATCACATAAGCTACATAAAAATAAAGAAACACAGATAAAGAAACAAACACATAGAGGCAAAAAAACTACAATTAACAAATGAATAGTACTCCAATAATAAAAACATCAAACATGCAAGTTATACAAGCTTTTAAGGCACACAACAAGTGTAGAAAACAACTCATAGCCCAATGCACATACACAACCATTTTAAATGTTTCTCTTTAAGCTCATATCCTTAATAAAGGCAAGAATCATAGGTCTTGTCTAATCACCTCCTTTAAATTCTTCATAGGTTTGTCCATGTCCCTACTATCCTCCACCAATATAATCCTCTCGCATCTCGACACTGGCCTCAACATTCTACCACCTCACATACCCAAATCACCTCATCCCAGCTTTTCGTATCTTACCTTACACAGGTGACATGCTTACCCGACCTTGGATAATATCATTTTGAACCCCATTCAACCTTGTTCCCACACACATCCAAATTGTAACATCTGCATCTCTGTTATATGTAGTCAACGAATGAGGGTTTTCTTAATTCCCTACCACTCCAACCCATACAACATAACTGGTTTGACTACTGACTAGTTGAACATACCTTTCATCATAGCTTAACTATTCTTATTGCACAACACCTTAGAATTCAGTCTCTACTTAGCCCGAGCCACTCCAAAATAATGTGAAGCATCCCTATCTAACTCCACATCCGCTTGAATGACTGAGCAAGATACTAAACTTGTCACCAATGCCTTTTTCTTTCTCTTCTCATTCCTTTCTCCTTCACCGTACTTCTCCACCTTGGGATACGGACATGTTGACTTCAATTGGCCATGTTTCCTGCAATTATAACATAGGTAAAATTCGGGTGAAGTGTCACTTACCTACAGTTTTCCCTTAGATGGCCTTCGCATAGAGTCGGTCTTCCTAAAGAACTTCTTGAACTTTCAGAACTACTTGACCATCATGGCGAGTTCCTCTTCAAAGTTCTCCGTCTTTGACCTCGGCTGGCTGGTGGAAGGAGTGTCACAGCTTTTCTGGCAAGTCCATTCACTCATTGTGGCTTGGATAATTGTCACCAATGCTGTTGTATAAGGAATGACTTGTTCTTCCTTCTTCTTCTTGTCTAGCTCATGCTCATATGTTATGAGTTCGTCCGGAAGTCCTTGAACAGTGTATCTCTCTAGATTTCTTCCTTCATCCATTGTTGTGTCCTAGGTGTACCACATTCTAAAAGAAAAATGAATCTCAAATAAAATCTAAAATAAGAAATGAAAAATGTCGTCAACGATGAGCATTCAATTTCTCCAATAGAGACTTTGCTCACCGGAGCTTCGGAAATCGTCAATCAACAAAAAAGCTCAAATCATCGCCTCATATACTTTCACCATATCGGGCCAACAAAAGAGAAAGATGAAGAGCCAAAGAGAAAATAAATCAGCTGCCCTCCTTGTTATATTTGCTACCCTCTTTGCTAGATCTATTGTCATCCTTGCCGGATCTGTTGACCTGCCCCACCCCTGGTGTGCTTGTGCTCCACCATAGAGAGAGGAGAGAAGCAGAGTATAAGAAGAAAATAGAAGATGAAGACGAGAAGAAAATTAAAGAGAAGATGAAGCCCCGCCACAGACATGCAAGAGAAGATAAGTGAAGGAGATGATGATGAAGATGAGAAGAAATTATAGAAGAAGATGAAGACACTGTAGAGAGTTTGAAGATGCAGAAAAGAGAAATGGGGAGTTAATTTTAGAATATAGGGAGTAAAAGATTCGCCTTGGGAATGATATTTTGGTTTTGGGAGAAGCTGATGGATAAGAAAAATGCTAGGGGTATACCTTTGGTGTATCCCATTTGTCCCCCACCATATCCTCCACCACATAAATAGGCAAAAAACTTAAAAATAAATAAATACTCCCTCCGTCTTAAAACTTTTTTCCCACTTCCCATTTTTCTCCGTCCTAAAACTACCTTCCCATTAGAAAAAAAAGATGACAAATGACATTAATACCCTAGCCTCATGTATTTACACCAATTATCTTCTAACTCAATATTTTGAATGATTGCAAAAAAAATTCAAAAAAATCTTTTTTAAGGAAGGTAAAATTTGAAGTCAAAGCCAAAAATTAAAAATGGAAAAAAGTCAAACTCAAAAGAAAGTTTTAGGATAGAGAGAGTAATTAAAAATGAAATAAAAATATATTGTGGAAAAGGAGGTGAGATACAAATGAAATGGGATATAACTCTGGTATACCCTGTCTAAACATTGGCCGAATCAGCCGGTGGGCAGTGGCCACCCACCCCTACTTGCATCCTTCATAAAATTCTTAGCTGTAATAGCCGTTGTGTGCATAAGAAATGCAATCCAGGATAGGGTTTCTCTTGGCATACACCTGTTCGTCCTCACGGTTCTCCCACATCTTGTCGTACTCTGCTAGCCACGAATTCCGATCAGTTGGTTCACGTACCTGTCGGCGTGCTTTACTTTCAGGCGAAGATGTGAATTTATGCCGTTCCCACTATGGCGTGTCCTGGCATCGGGAACGCCGGTTTTGTAGCTACGCAATCGAGCAGTTCTCGGATGATGAATACGGATGCGACTATGAGAGTCATCTAGTTAATATCCATTTGTCATACATGTGTGGTTTCAAGAAGCCTTGTAGATGGTTTGCACATTCTACACTTTTGAAAAGTTTTCATACTTTCTTGTTGCACATGATTCCAGAACAATAAAATTTCTGTTTTCCATTTTTCTTGATCATTCTTGATTCCCCATTTCCCTGGTAATGCTGGACTAAGGGTAATAACACTAACATTAGCATTGTTTGTGCGAACAATAAGATTCCCGAACAATAAGATTTCTGTTTTTCATCTTTCTTGATCATTTTTAATTCCCCATTTCCCTGGTGTATTCTGGACTAAGGGTAATAACACTAACTTTAGCATTGTTTGTGCGAAACCGAATTAATGTTAATGGCCATTTATGCTTTATGCTGATGGGTAAAGCCTCTTTTGCCAATACTCATTATCTTTTGTAAGTTTTATATTCTTATTCTGATACTCATATTAAATCAAGTAACGCCTTCATTTCAAAAGGGCATGTTTACTAGTTGGTAAACTGTAAACCCATGGTTTTCGTTGCTGACGATGCTAATAAATGGTTTCATTTTCAGGCACTTACAGAGGCAATGCCGCTCTCAGACATAGATCAAAATACAGTATGTCATCTACATAACACGTTAATTATAAGTTTCTTACTTCTGAGTTAGTCACTTATGAAATGATGATTTACAGGTTAATTTTGTCCCAAATTTTGACAAATCACAAAAAGAGCCATCTCTACCCCCTGCTAGAATCCCGAATCTGGTCCTGAATAATGCCTCTGGAATTGAGGTAATCGGTCTGACCTAGAAAATAGTTAAATGATTTTATCTACTATGCATTTCTATACCAGTTTACGTATCCCTTTGTCATGCGATTGTTTCCATTCTTTATGCTTTCAGGTGTGCATGGCCACAAATACCCCTCCACACAATCTTGGAGAGCTTGTTGATGCAATGTCTTCCTATATTCATAACCAGAAGTAACAGTAAAAATGAATTCAGTTATTTCACATTGCTACGTTGAGATTACATCTCATTGCCATTTTGAGATATGTTATTTCACATTGCCATTTCGAAAGTATTTTAATTCTGATGGAGGTTCCTTTTTTGTTTTTCTATTTGACTATTTCCATGCAATAAATTGCAATCTAGCAGTCTCCTTTTTTCCCCAAAAAAGAAAAGCAGATGCGTTTTTGCATTATTAATCCAGATCCAACTGGGAGCATTATCTAGTATTGTAACAGTGGTCTTGATTTTTAACCCAAAACATGCAATAACTGAACCTGAAGAAGGCCATTTCTCCTACATTGACAAATATGTGTTACCTCTTCATCATGCTTTCTCTTTATTTCATTCTTTTTTGTGATAGTCTTTTGTATTAATTATTTTTGTCATTATGGTCATTGATAATGCTGCACTTCCTAGGCCAAGCTTGATCTTTATTGCTTTCTGCCATTGCCTTCGTGTTAAACCTTAATATCTCTAGAAATGCCATGGCAAACTGGATAAATTTTATGGTGTTTTAAACTGGACTGATTCCTCAGATTGTGCAGACCTAGAAATACCTAGTGATCAGGTCTGCTGAGCCCTTAAAACAGGTATGGGGAGGTGGTTTTGAACCGATTGAACTGGTTGAAAATTGGGTTAAACCGGGTGACTTTTAGTTTGGATGGTTGGATCTGTTTGGGTTTTCAATGCTTAGACGTAAACAACAATATCATCTAATTTTATGATGTTATTGGCCTTATTGCTAAA